CAGAGACGGGTATCTGAGAAATGGGTTCGCCCGGTTCAAGGGTTATTTAAATGTAATTATGATGCAGCTTTTAATTTAAGCACAAGGCGAGTTACTTCCGGTTGGATAGTCCGAGATAGTGATGGAACAACTATTAAGTGGGGAGCAGGGGATGCTGGCCTAGCTGTCACGAGTTTGGAGGCGGAAGCCAAAGCCCTTATAATGGCTATGCAAAATTTGTGGTCTGCAGGTTTTAAAAACGTTATTTTTGAAGGAGACTCACAAGTTCTTACTAACACAATCACGAACACTCAACATGATATTACACTGTCTAGTTATCTCCAGGATATTTCCTATTGGTCCACCAAACTAGGAGACGTACAACATGCTTTCATTAGTCGAAATGGGAACCAAGCAGCTCATCTACTCGCAAAACGGGGTCCTCCCAATGGATTGTTTTATTCGAATTATTGTAATTTGCCTTTTTGGTTAACACCAACTTTGTACTCAGACCTAATGTTTTCAAGTTAATAAAGTTCTAACTTCGTCGAAAAAAAAAAAAAAAGTTCTGATCCTAAGGAGATAATAGTCTACAAATTTTGAGCCTTTTGAACCCATTAACAACTAATTAATACGCAAGTGTTACTCCGGTTTACCCAAACAGAGTCGACCAACCAGAGTGTATAATTAAAAAAAGAAATAAGTTTCTTAACAAACCGGTCCCTCTTCTCTTTGATGTAGTTTTTAAGTTAAAAAAAAAAACATGTTCCTTCGTTGCACAAAAAGTAGGGCTGGAATTATTATCCGAGATCCGGATCCGATCCGAGATCCGATCCGAAAATAGGATATCCGGGTGCCCCGGATCCGAATCCGGATAGTAAAATGTCGGATCCGTCGAATCCGGATCCGAATCCGGATATCTGGATTTTTAGGTCCGGATATCCGGATCCGGATCCGTTATTTTTTTAATATATTAAATTTAAAATATTATTAATAATTATAGTTCATTTATTAATATTTATACATGAAATTAGTCTTATAATATTATATTTTAATTTTAATAATATTATATACATAAATATATTTATAAATTTTGTAAATATATTTAAGTTATGTAATATTTATGGAGTTTTTGGCATTTTAAAAAACATTTTTATTTTTTTATAGTTATTTTGGCGGATCCGGATCCGAATCCGGATACCTGCGGATATCATGATATCTAGACGGGTATCCGGAACCCGGATATCTGGAAGACACGGATCCGGATCCGGATCCTTAAATCACGGATCTGACGGATCCGGATCCGGATCCGGATACCCCGAATATCCCGGATATCCGGATCCGTCCCACCCCTAACAAAAAGAAACAAGTTCCTTCATAAGATTTATGTGCTTCCAGTTCAAACTAGTTTGTAGGTGAACTTTTTATTAGTCTTAGATCTCCTTATTTTCCTATGTAATTTCTTAACAGCACATTATTATTGTTAGTGTAATTTATCCGTCCATCTTGAAAAATACAAACAAAAAAACAGTACTACCTTCACAAATAATCTTATACTAGATTTTGACCCGCGCTTGAAAGCGCGGAAATTTTTTATGATTAAAAGTTTATATAATTGGGTTTTATCTTAGTTTAAAGAATATTTTGATATAAAATCAGTTCACCAAAATTTGTGGTGATGATTATTTTTCATTAGTTTTTAGTTTCAGTTTTTATTTTTAGATTTTGGTTTTTGGTTTTTAGTTTTTAAGTTTCTACTTTTCATTTTCAGTTTTTGGTTTGGGTTTTTAATTTTTAAACCCGCTGAGTTAGTTTATACTAATATTACCAACAAACAAATCTCAAATAATCGAACATCTAATTCAAAACTGAAAAGATGACATCAAATTTTTTCAAAAAAAATTGAAATAATTTATTTTGTAAATAAACAAAGCAAAAAAATATAACATGTGTTTTCAGCTTTTGGTTTTGGATTTTAGTTTTTAGATTTGGTTTTTGGTTTTGCTTTACATTTTTTTAACCAGTAAATTATTTAAGAAAAATAAAACAATAAATTATTTAAAAATTACCATTGAAATTTATCAAAACAAAGTGATTGTTATTTAAAATAAAAAAATATATTAACATGTTTTAAAGTACATGATTTAAATAAATGATTAATAATAGATAATTTTGTTTTGTTAAAAATATTAAGTATCTTTTGGGTCTGAAAATAATAATTGATTTTTTGATATTTTAAGGTGAAAATTTTATTCAAGGTTTTTAGAGTTTTTTTTAATACTAAACCCAAAAACTAAACTATATAATTTGTTCAAAAAAAAGTAATCCCAAGACTATATTCCATAAATAACCACTGATTTAATTTAAGTATAATTAGTAAATTTCCATATTCCATATTTTGATGATATATATTCTTTTAGAACATTCCATATTTGTAGGAGAAAATATGTGTTTTCGGTATACACATAGATACCTGCCATATTTTGAAGGTAGTTTACATTAAGGTCGTCTCTTTACATTAATTGTATTGATTTAATTTAAGTAATACGGTTCAATCAATTATATAACTTATATTATTTGTAACATTCTAGAAATAGTCTAAATTTAAATGACAACTTGTAACAGTAGATAAAAAGAATGACTCTATTTTAATAGAGTAGATATTAAAACAGAAGTCATGACTTGATTTCATGTGTGATATTCTAAAAAATGAACTGTTACTAGAAAGTTATGTTACATTAACTCTCTAATAATATTATTATTATTATATCTTATAATATGCTTAACAATTTTGTTTTGGTAAATTACTCTACACCTTCCAACTTAGTCACGCAAAATATGTCAATAGATATAAATTTAGGAATCTTCTATTATTTATAAGGAAATATGTCAATAATAGTTAAATGCATCCAGAATATATTAACAAAAATCACAGATTAATAATATGTAATATTTATATACCTTAACAAAATTTACACGTTATATATATTAGATAAATTTATTTCGATGTAAAATTTTAAAATTTTATTGTTTAAAAAAAAAGAAATTGTTTAAAAAGTTCCTTTTTAATAAACTTTTTATAATATTAATTTATGAAGATATAAGTTTAGTTTTTAGCAAAAAATTCTTCGAAGTTTATATTATCTTTGCAAATTAAATTACACTAATATTTAATCAAGAAAGAAGAAGAAGAAACAAACACATGTTTAAAAGTCATGTATAATATAGAAAATTTGAAACAATCTATTTGATTAAAACACTTATTATATAATATTACTATGTTTGAAAAACATTTACTATACATATCGTAAATATGTGATTACTATAATATATACCAATTTACAAGTGAAAACAAAATGTTTATATAACTATAAACGAAAACAAACATCCGCGCGGTTGCGCGGATCAAAATCTAGTATTTTTTTAAAATTGAAAAACGAGTCATATATAGATATATGGTATGTCACAATTGCAAGCAAATCATCAGTCCCGCCCGTGACAGATTCTTCACATAACTCGCCACGAAACCGGCTTTGAACTAATTTTATAAACCATATAATGTAAGCATCAATAATACTACGTATTCCAAACCTCATTGTCGATTTTCTCAAGTATACAATTTTCCCTCTTTTCCTCATCACGTACCGGATTTTGGGGTTACGTATATTTTTGGGAGTTTGAAGTTAAAAGTTTTGATAATGAAAAGTTTGGATCCCAGTTTCAAAAAAGAAAAGTTTTGATAATGACGTGTATATATATTTCCAAAATTTTATCTGTATATATCAAAATAGTTTATATTTGTAAAAAAAAACTGTTTTTTTTTAGTTTAGAGAATTTATTATTATTTATTTTTCTTTGAAACTTGAGGATTTGTTATATTGTCCATGCATGTTTCTTTTTTGATTCGTTGAAAATTATCACGAAAGGTATAGTGATTTATATTTCTTGTTTTATCTAAATGCTGAATTATAACTAAAATCTATGAACCAAATTCAATTTAAGAGAAACTCTGATGATCAACAAAATATAGTTTTTGAATTTCGAGAACACAATATAGGTGTATAGAAAAGTTTTGTTCTTTTATACTTTCAAGTTTCAAAACAAGTTGCACTTGATGTAAACAAATGACTTTTGATTTGAATAATTAACATTCAATTCAAGAACACAATGTTTTTCGGGCATGACGTATACGGTTTAACAACAAATTAATACTTTTAATCTTAACTACTAATGGAATTATATTTTGACGACTAAACAACTCAGTTACACAACTTGTGGGTACATGACATGGAACAATTGTTGTGGTATATATGCTTTGATGTATTATTTGGTTAATTGTCTATTCAGTAGAGCAAAATCCATTAAAAATAGTTTAAATAAATTAAAGTACTGCCTCAATTCGTAAGTTGTTGTGGTTCAATTATATCCGGTTGTTGAACATGTGCCATTGACTAAAACTAAATGAAACAGATACATTTACCGTTATTGTCTAAAACCTAAATCAAATTTTTTTAATCATTTTATTAATGTATATAAAATGAAAAGACAAGCATGTTAGAGCCAAGTGGTTTTATAGAAACCAGTTTATGGTACTTTCATATAATTTTAAATAACTCTTTCATTTTATTGACCTAAACCATTTTTTCAAATTCGAAACACGCAAAGAAAAACTGAAAGTGATATATATTACGATGAAACTGCCACCTTATCGACCATGTAATTAATTACAATTCTACATTTATCAACCTAGCTGGATGAAATTTTCAGCATATAAGTATAAAGTATATTAATAGAAAATTACAACATGGCGAAGGAATGTTCACCAAGTCTCTTGCACGCCTATGCAAACGTTCTCTAAGCTTAATTTCCCCCAATATTAATATAACCTTTTGACTTTCGCATGTCTTGGGCACATATAGAAGATGTATTAAGTTCATAAACTTTAAATTATATTTTCCAACGGTTGAGTTTTTAGTATATATACCTTCTGGTTGAGCACAAATGTCTTACAATCCTTTCCACAAGAAGCAAAAGGCAATACTAAGAAGAAAAACTTCTTATCCACAAAAATGATGAAGTTTTCTTCTCTTCTTTTGCTTTTCTTTATTTTCCCGATAGCATTTGCTCAACTGCGAGTCGGGTTTTATAGCCGCTCATGCCCTCAAGCCGAGACTATCGTACGCAATCTGGTGCGCCAACGGTTTGCTGCTAACCCAACCGTCACCGCCGCTTTGCTCCGTATGCATTTTCACGACTGCTTCGTTAGGGTAATAATCTAATATACCATTTTGATACGGCTCAAACATGCATGTCCAAAACACTCTATATCAATTTTTAGTTTAAACTATCTTATGAGTATGGTGACCATAACAGCATACTTGCATGTAAAATGCATTTAATTTTTTTTTTAAAATACTCTCATAAAATTACAAGAGGTTCATGTCATATACTATATCATTTAGTATGGATAATATAATCTTAATATATTATTGTTCATTATTCGTAGGGTTGTGACGCTTCCCTGCTCATTGACTCGACCACCACTCGTCCGTCTGAGAAAGCGGCCGGACCAAACGGAAGCGTTAGAGAGTTTGACTTGATCGACCGGATCAAGGCTCAGCTAGAGGCCGCGTGTCCCTCCACGGTCTCATGCGCTGACATCGTCACGTTAGCGACACGTGACTCCGTTGCCTTAGCCGGAGGCCCGAGCTACAGCATCCCCACGGGAAGGCGAGATGGTTTGGTCTCAAACAGTGCTGACGTGGCCCTTCCGGGTCCAACAATCTCAGTCGCCGGAGCCGTCAGTTTGTTCACGAACAAAGGGATGAACGTGTTCGACGCTGTGGCTCTTTTGGGTGCACATACCGTTGGTCAGGGAAACTGTGGTCTGTTCAATGACAGGATCACTAATTTCCAAGGAACCGGACGACCTGACCCGTCCATGGACCCAGCTTTGGTTTCCAGGTAAATTAAACCATCTAAATTTATTTGAAAAAAATTACATAAGAATGAACAAAATTGTAAGTTTGAGAAGATTTAAAATTTTATTTTTATCTTATTAGAGGAGTTATATTGTTGAAAATTTCTGAAATCAGCAATAGGTACCCAGTTTAAGTTACATTAAAAAAATATGGCATTTACATGGTTTAGATTATCTTTCTTTTTTTTTTTTGAAAAAGGCTATATGGTTACACATATTTTACGTTATTTCCAAAATTTTGGATTTTTCATATGTATTTTTTTTTATAAAGTTAGAAAATAATTTTCCTTGAAAACGTAAGCAAATTATATTTAGATTCCAAACGAAATTTAGTATCTTAAATCAGAGAAATAATAGTTTGAATGTGTTATTTTTCTTGTGATATAGGTTAAGGAACACATGTAGAAACAGCGCGTCAGCGGCACTAGACCAGTCGACTCCACTAAGGTTCGACAATCAATTCTTCAAGCAACTCCGTAAAAGAAGAGGAGTGTTGCAGGTTGACCAGCGGCTCGCAACAGACCGACAGACACGTGGTGTTGTGGCTCGATATGCTAACAACAATGCCTTCTTCAAACGTCAATTTGTTAGGGCAATGGTAAAGATGGGAGCCGTTGATGTGCTTACCGGTCGTGCTGGTGAGATTAGGAGAAACTGCAGAAGATTCAACTGATTAGCTTTGATGTATTGCTACTAAATGTGGAAACAATTATGTTTGTTATTTTTCAAATTTTATTTATGTTTCTAAATTATTGTTGTTTTTGTTGGATTTTGCTTGCTTGATAAGGTTTTCGTGAATTAGATATATAGTTTCAATTCTCGAAAAATATAACTATATGCTGGTCTGAATATTGAGTATGTATCTTATTCTTATACATTTATATTTGTGGTATTGAGTTTAGTGACAATATTTTGATCTTACATATTTGTCCTGATTAATTATAAAAAAAACTTTTCTATACTTAGTTTGTTTGTTCAATAAAATTACAATAAACTTCTTTGCGGAGCGGAGCCGGTCATGTGTTTCAGATTGGAATTGGTTGGATCTTCTACGACAAGGAAGGCCGCCCAATTCTCCAAAGAATGGTATCTATTGACCTTGCATCTACAAGATTACTAGGACTACTACTCTAGAAATTAGAGGTATTCGGTGAGGGTAGATGTTTGTTATGTAAGCAGATCAAACGAGAAATAAACAAAGGAAAACAGTATACTGCTGTATATGCATTTTCGGTGAGTATTAGTAATAAATATGGGCTTTCAATCGGGCTGAGGATAGTACTTGGTAAAGCGGCACAGCTTCAATTGCAAACTTACTAAAACTTATTCTAATTCTACCGGAAAGGAGGTTATATTTTATTAAACATTTATTTGTTGATTACGGACTTTAAGTTATTTTATTTTTCAACACGGACTTTAAGTTATTTTATTTTTGTTTTCTTTTTTTCACTCCTACTCCGGCTAACTTCTACGGTTCTACCAAGGCTCAAATTAAAACGTTAAACAGACATGGTCAGACTTAACTAGGTAAACAAAAGAAACTTAAACCCATTTTCTTCATAGAACAATTAGTACCCTTATCATGAACCCTAATTCTTCACAATATTAATCAAGAAGCTCCAACTCCAAGAAAATCAAAGAAGTAAAAGCCACTTTTCATCTTCATTTTCACCGTCCTTTCACTGACTGAGATTGTGTGGTGATTTTGATGGTCCATCTCTTTACTATATTTGCCATTTACTTCTGCTCTCTGTACACACTGACCATCTTTACCTGTAAGATTATCAAAACAATGTTTTTAGCCCCCACGTGAATTTGTTGTACTGAAATAGTAATGTGACATTGTACTACAACTCCTTATATTATTATATACCCGTAGGTACTATTACGATGTAAAACACTGTCTTTCTCTCTTGTCATTCAAATTTGTAATTATTGCCACATATATTAAAATTATTAGAAGTGGTCACTCGTCGTCGGCTATATAACATGAATATAATTTAATGTGCTTTGAACTACTAAAAACCGTCCTAACAAAACTTGAAATTAGGCTAAAAACATTCCAAGTTTCTATACTTTCATATCTCAAGAATGTTTTTTTTTTTTTTTTTTTTTGAGAAAGGATTTTTCATATTTCAAGAATGTCATTAAGATGATTTTTTAAAAATGAGTGATTTAGTGAACTACCCATATTTGAAACTCAAATTAGTAAAATATCATTGATTGGACATAAAGTACACTGACACAACCATTTGGCAAGGAAATGTCGAGAATGCCCTTTCTCTTTCCTCTCATTAACACGAAGCGTAAAAACATTTGTTAACATATAACACTTTTGTTAACGTCTACAATATATGTTAACAGCAAACACATTTATTACCGCGAAGCGTAAAAATAATTGTTAACAGTTAACACTTCTGTTAGCGTCTACAATATTTGTTAACAGCGAACACATTTATTAACGCGAAGCGTAAAAATAATTGTTAACAACTAACACTTCTGTTAACATCTACAATATTTGTTAACCGCTAACACGACGTCGAATCTAAAACCCCAAAAAATGATATCATCAAAAAATTGAGGATTCAAAGCCACTTATTAAAAAAAATAATGAAATTTAAAATTTAATTGTATATAGAATGATAGAGATTTGTAAAATAATTAGGGATTGAAGAGAAAAAAAAAAGGAGGAAATGTCAAAGAGAGGAGAGAGAGTGTAGAGAAGGGCAAAATGGTCCAAAAGAAAGTGTTTGTCATATCATGGGCAAATCTCTAATTATAGGTGTCAAATAGGGCACTTTAGCCAATTATCTCTTTAAAAATAGACAAAGTAGTACTACCATAATAAAAAAAATATAATCAAATACATAAGTTGTTACCTGAGGCAAGGGTATTATCGTAATTGAAGAAGCGAGGCTGGTGGGTTAAAGAAGGCGGAGTGAGAGAGAGCTCCGTCGTACAAGTAGAGACAGTTGAACCATCGTCATCGTCACCGTTATCATCTTCTTCATTGACAAAAGTACTCGTAGAGACCGGTGCCTGAGGAGACTGTTGACGTTGTCGTTGACATTCTCTAGTCCTTCGAGCCATGACGACGTGCCAATGGTTCTTGACAGCGTTATCTGTCCGACCCGGGAAGAGACGTGAGATCAAAGCCCACTTGTTTCCATAGGCTCGGTGAGTAGCTAAAAGCCTTAACTCTTCTTCCTCAGTGAAGGCAGTCTTGTTTATTCTTGGGTCTAGCTGGTTAAACCATCTCAATCTACAACTTTTGCCTGAATTATCAAAGAGGCAATATTAATTACCCTTCAAAATATACTCCCTTCGTTTTGTTATATATGACGTTTTGGAACTTTTATTTTGTATATATCAAAATTTGGCCAAATTTTGTATAATTTAATGACGTTAGACTTCATCTACCTTTGCATTTGACTAATTAATAATTTATGATCAAAGAGTAAATTGCACATCAAAACAATTATAAGAAAGATAGAATGGACATGAGAACAGCTTCTTTAAATTGTGTGAAACCATCCAAAACAAGGTCAACTAAAACAAAACTGAGGATGTATAAATTAGTTACTGTCAAATTAGTCACAGATATGTATGATTAAATACGTATATATATCTCTAAACGCATACTATGCCTAATTATATTATTATGTATAAAATACATATTTTTAGTTAACATTAATTTTGGAAATATCCTTTTGGTTAAATGAAGAAAATGCGTAAGTTGACGACCAAAAAAAATGCGTTCAGAGATATATACCAAGAAGTAAGAACAGTAGAAAAATAAAAGTAAATAAATGTACCTGATCTACCAAGAAGGTGGTTAGCAATCACGTTCCAGTTTTGGGGACCAAACCGGGCAACAAGCTCCTTGAGTTTAGCATCTTCTGTTGGTCTCCAGTGTCCTCTTGAGCATATTTTTGCTTTTATTCCACTTTTACCCCTCCTTTTCAAACCGTTTTGTTTCTCATGTTCATCTACCGACTTCAAGATTGAGACTGATTTGTTGAGAGGATGGTGTCTAGCAAGAGAGTAGTTGGTCTTCGCGCTTGATGTAGATCCATAGTTGTTTGATTCTCTGAATATTCTTGACCCATGGATGGCTTCATTACATGTTTGATCTTTCTGGAGGAGATTTGGATTCATTTCTTCTGAGGTTACGGATTAAAAGAAGAGAAACCAGAAATAGAATAGAGAGAGAGGCAGGCCACTTGGATGGCTTTCCACTGTTTATATGGTGGAAGAAAAAGAGATTCTCCAATTTTTTATTGACTCATATATGCATTTAACGGACATATATCTCAATTAAATATATAAAAATTCACATCATAGATACAATAATATTTATAAGAATTAATGATGAGTTGTCATATAAAGTACATGGAAAATAACATGATAGCGGGTTTATTCACACATCAACAAGGGGCAATATTTTTTTATATACATATATCACACACTTGTGTTGTGTAAATAACATCTTTTATAGACCATTCCAATCGTTTTATATAGTTTTGTACGATTTAACATTTAAACTACAACTTTAGTCATGGTGTCGTGTAAATTCGGTCGTAGAAAGTATGAAGTATTATAATTTTCTCGTCAATATCTTTATGAGCTGCATGTTAATTTATGTTCTTGTGTAGCAATGAATTAGAAAGAATTTATACTCACATTCTAAAAAAAAAAACCAATTATTCTAAAAAAAAAAATCTGTATTCACGTTTTTCTTCAGTTTGCATTTTAATTTCTACTTGAACTAAAATTTCGATTAATATGATACTCATAGTTTTTAGTACACTTTTTCTCGCTCAACACGTGCAAAGTAGGGCGTTAGAAAAGTCGGTGTGCGTGTGGTGTTGTTGCATGCAAAACGAGACCCGCTCGTGCGTGAGGGGATGGTCGATGACTCAGGCCCACAGACTCAACAGTCTCGGAAACTCCAAAAACATTTTTGAACCGCTCGTGTGGCACTACTATACACACATTGATAATGCACGTGTGCACGTACGAACAAGTTGGTGTGAGTTAATAATTATGGGATAAAAACAACAGAATCGTTTTTGTCTGTTTCGGACACAAAGCAAGAAAAGATCTCAAAGGAAGAGAAATAAATTGCTTTTCTGTTCTCCTTAACGTGTATAAAATATGTGTGAATCTTTTTTTTTAGCTAAGAAATGAATCTATGTATGTAAATGAATACATTCGCATGTTTCAAAGAATTCGTTTTCTGTATATCGATATAATTAATCACGAGTAGCTCAACAACTAATTTTAATATTATTAATCAGTTAATTACAAAGAAGCAACAATGGTTTAAGCTTTTAAGTACACTTTAAAATATTTTGAACTATTAAGTACTTCATCAAGATCTTTTGAACGGGCGTTTTTGCTTAATGTTCTCCGTGAACTCAAACACACTAACTTAAGCAGTGAACTCAAACAATGCCGTGCGAAAATTACTGGAAAATGTAACTGAAGTCGAACTTGGAATTATATTCAATAAACAAACGAAGAGTGAAATGAACATAATACAAAAAACGTTTGAAGCCAAAGAAAATGACAGAAACGTACCCAGAAAGATTATTTGGAGTGTCTTGTTTTGCGTGAGTTTCGGTTATGGGAACGGTTTCGTTAATTTTGAAATCTTCTGCTGGCGAAAAACAAAAAAAAAGTCTTATACCGACGTGGAATGACGACATCATGAACTGTTACACACGAGCGGATCGTGTTCTTACCTAACACATGCCTCAACTTCAGTTCAACTGTTCAAGTATATCTTTTTCGGTTCAAAGAAAATATTCTAGAACCGTTATGGACCAATTTCCACTTTATTTCAGGGATTTAAATTTAACGTTACTAACTAAATTTTTCAATACTGCAAAAATTTATAATATTTATATAGAACAAATGTATATAGTTCAAAACCATAGTCGAGGTTTTCAAAATGAAGATTGTTTAAATAGCTATAGCCTCATTAATGGAAAAAAGTGATAATTGAAAGCGGTAAAATAATATGATATATATGATAAGGTCAATCGTATTTTTAAATAGTAAGAGACAACAGTATATTATATGAAAATTTTATAGTACGTAAGAGAACCATATATTTTCTAGTCGCACTTGTACAGTTTTAATTAATGGACTTGAATACTTCTTTTTCTTTTCCAGTATCACAAATAAATCTTTTAATAAAACCATAAAACAAAAAGTGGTGTGAGAAGGAAAAGCCGAAACTCTAAACGCTACAGATTAATGTTTGGGTAATGGTGAGGTAAGCTTCCACACTAATTACATTCAATAAGAGAAAGCTTCCAAATTAGTTTTAAAGGGGACACTTTAACTAACTGGAGGAATTTAGGGCTTTATCTCATGATGTAATGTAATGAAATAAAGTAACTGTATACAGTTTATATTTAGAATTTAATTATATAAATCATGTCAAAGTTGTTAGCCAGTCCATTGCACTTGTAGCATAGAACTAACATATCACATCAGCGTATTATAGTAATTAACTATCATAGAATACATTTTTGGGGAGAGTTAATGAGGTTCTACCTTACGGACTAGATTGAAAGTCATTATCGAAGTAGTTAATTGTCCACGCACTCACCACTAGTTTAGTCCACATGGATCCAAACAAAAAATGTAGTTATTCGAATGTAAATAGTTTAATGTATGTAAAAGTATAAACCAAAATAAACAATAGTCAAAAGTTGACGGCGGTGATCGGCAACTAATCCACCAATATTAACTCAAAATGATTCCCAGGTCGAAAAGAACAGAACTATTCTCTCCTTTTTACCACCATTGAATCATTGATGTTTTATATCATTTTAAAGAGGACATTATATATTTTGAATTTACTTTAGTTTAAATTATATTTTTTAGGTATAATGTAATTTTTATTGTTTATTATTCGTATTAATAATCATATATAGTATGTTACACATTCTGAAACTAATACATTAGTATATATCTATAACCCATTTTGGTTTCTTACGCTGTTTCTCTAAAACATTTATGGAAACTCTAATAAGTCTTAAACAAAATTAATCCTCTAAAATCATGTGTATACCATAGGGAAAATGGGCAATTAATTCCCCAAGTATTTGAAATCGGCAGTTTTAATACTCAAGTATTGCTCGCGCAGAATTATTCCCCAACTAATAGTTGACTGCGCGAAATTAGGAATGAAATAGTCAAACCGTTAACTGGTTAACGGAAAGATAACGGTTGACTATTTCGTTCCTAATTTCACACAGTCATCTATTAGTTGG